TAAGAACGATGCACTTTTTTATAAGCGCAATGAGACAGCACGAGCAGGTATGCGGAAAAGGGAACTTTAAGGGTTTAGTCGGTTATTATTCTTCGGGCAACACACCTGCCTGCATGCAATGCTATTAAGTAACGGTTAAATGCGTTTGCCATGTTCATATTGATAACATGCACGTAATAAATTGCATGGTTGTATTAAAACTAGGAGTGAGTGGACAGGTACAAGCCCGTTCGCAGTGTTAATTAGTAGAAAAGGTGGTCTAGGTAGCTACGTGGGTTGTGGACAAAAATAGGGATCCTTAATAGACTGGCTGTATAAATAAGGATTGCTAATAGCTATGGCACCTGTTTGGTAATTAACTTTTTTTTATATAAACAAGAATGCTGGTAGTTTTGCGGGTTTATGCCTCGGTAATCTAGGTTTTATTTAAAAAAATTAGGTAGGTACACGAATAGTACGAAACGAATATTTTGACAGCGGATTATTGTGGATTTGCGGATTACTTACCTCTTTGATAGATTAGTCGCAGAGTGGGTGGGTAGTGTCATTTCGTTTTTTTTACCCGACTTTTGATGGATAGGTATCTATCTGGGTTTGGTGTTGTTCTCAATAATAACATCACGTCTTTTATCCCCGAAGGGGAAGGCAGAGGTGCACATTACAGTACTAAAAATGCCACAGTAAAATGTAACACCCACATTTGACTATTTAGGTTATGAGTCCCATGTAATAGTGGGTTAAACCTATTGCCATATACCGGCACATTTCCAGACTCCGTGCTACTACTGAGAATTTTATGAAAAAACCCAGTCATACTTTTTCCGACCTCGGAATCGAACCCGAGACCCCTTGCCTGGCAGTCGCACTTGCGACCACTCGGCCAACGAGGTAGTCTCAATAATAATAACTGCGTATTCTGAAATCAAGGCACTCGTCGGTCTAAAGACGGAGGAGTCTGGTAAATAGGTAAAATAAACAGAAATGTTAAAAAAGTCTTTTTTATTTTATCTATCGTAAAACGTCTTTACTAGTAGGTAGTGCGGACCTCTGTCGTCCTATCGATAATTTCAGAGAATGAAGCGGTAAAAGTATGTACCTAGGTACCTACCTAACCATTCTGAAGTTTCTAATAGTTTATGAAGGTGTTCTTCATTTCTTTTAAAAAATAATCTGCACGTCATGTCGGTATATGAATTACCCACATACCTATTTATCTATGACGTACCCATTAGGCACTTCTTAAATATAATTTAATCTTTCAGCACGTAATTTTAAATTAGATAGAAATCAAGAGTGTATCTTAATTTTATCAGTCAAGGAGGTTCTAAATATATCGCGTACTTTAACAACTGTTTATTGGAGATACCTACATTTGATAAATCATTAGATAAAGATAGTAAGCCATACATTTTTTAGTAGTTACTGGAAAAGATTCTTAGCATGTAGATTTAACCGTCAGACAACTATTTTATCGGTATCTATGTATGTTGCAACTAGTTACGAAATAGGTAGATAACTAGTTGCTTATAGAAAATAGATACGAAGTCTTGTCTATAGAATAAAGAACACCACTCCTCTTTCTTATGTCCCATAGATAAACTGCGGAAGTTCGTTGACCGATAGCGTTCCAAATTCAAATAGTGTATGAACTAGGCTTAACCAGACCACATCCCGCGCTAGTCTGCACCTATCGGTTACTGGCCCCTTTCTATTTCCGGGTACCTATGACATACGTATGAACATTGCACGTAACTGAATGATAACAATAGATTGATAGCTAATAAAGACATAAAATACCCAGTCACAATAAAAACGTCAGGTAAATTAATCCACAATGACAAATGACTAAAAAAAACACAAAATCATGAGAATATCTTGAAGTTGGTATCGCCGCCGGTGGCATAATAGACGTCTACCATCGCTAAATTACTTTCTGCCATGGGAAAGTCGCACGACTTTGATTCGCCATAGATAGCTATCTCATAGAAAAAACCGGCACACGATAACGTTGTTTGTTTTATGAAAAAATATAATACAAACATGAAAAACAAACTACAATCGGACGAAAGTGAAAACCTAGGTATGCGAGGCCGTTCGGAGTCGTGATCACGCGAAAAAAAAACTAAGTTAAATGCTAGGCGCTCTGAAACGGTGACGCGAAAGTAAACACTGATAATGTAATAAGAGGGAACTTATTTTATCGAGTTCACACTGCAAACATTAATCTTAGCTGTCGTCATTATCGCACAGGACGATAACGTGACCCGATTGGATGAAAAAACAACGATTAAAACTTATTAATTAACGACCATGCAACTCCCTACAACTGGGGGGAGGAAACCAACCTGCTATCCTTAGAACTGCACGGTCTGCCGGGTCCAACTGCAGAATGGACAAAGGTTTGTCCTTCGCCCATTCTTTCAAGCTGAAATCGTTCTCGAATTCCATTTTTCTGTCATCCAAAACACAAAGTCTCGCGCGAACTCTCGCACATACTTGAATAGATCACAATTCACAACACTATCGTCGAAATATGCACTTATCGAACATGATATACACAATATTACAGGCGAATAACAAGTAAACAAAACGTTACGTTCATTGTAAAATGAAAATCGATAAACGTTAGCAAGGATACGGCAGCAAGTGCGTATCCGACGACCGAAAGATTCACTAGAATAATTCACTATTATGCAACACTTTAACAATAATAACTAAGCAGTTACTAAAACAAATGCAAATCGATTACAAAGGAACTCCGACAGAGGACGGAGTAACAACAAACTGTTTAGAGGTTATCAAAGCCGCCAAAGCATCATACACCGAACCGGCGGGCAGACATGATGCGACTGCCTACTGCATAGTTCTTGCAACCGCCGCTTCAAGGCGCTGCTATCGCTCAGCTGTTTTCACGCATGCTCACACTAGATATTATCCGACTAAATTAAAAATACTCTCGTTTATACTAAGTCACTCATATGTACTAGTTTTCTTCATATGATAGCTTATGCCTTGTTTACGATACTATCAGTGCCATCTAGCACTTCTTATAAAAAATGATGTTTTTAATGAAATTCAACAGATGGCTGAAAAGAAGAATATTTGCCATTTTCTACTAAATTTCAAAACATGAGTTTGAATTTTAATTAATGTTGCCAACATGAATTACATAAAATTACTGTGCGATTTGTACTGCAGCCGTTATCGTCACTTATCGTTATTCTACTGTTTACATTATGATGCGGAGCGAGGGGGACTAGGATGCCGTCTCATCCTTTTGCGAAGCAGTTATGCTAGCTAAGGAGCAGGTGGGACGCGTGAAGCAGCGCTTCGCTGCCTCCTAGCAACCCAGCTATTGCGAAGGACACACCGAGCGTCGGGGATCGCGGGATGATCTCCGGCCACCATACCAGGCGCGGGCCTGCGGACGGCGAGCTCCTCGTCCGACCAGAAACAGACCCGAGCGTACGGCGCGTCGCGTTCCGCGCGCGTCTCAAAGAGCCATCAGACCACCACAGATTGGGCTCAGCAGGGCCGATGCCGATTCGGAGTCGCGGAGAACCTAACGGGTTACCGGGGCTCCGGCTCGACGTGCAGGAGAAGGAACGGGGTGGTTTTTAGTCAGTAAGAGTCTGACACTCGCTTCCGCCTTACCCAGGCGGGAGCAGTCATTAGATGATTTTCCCCCCTTAAAAAAACTGTTTTCATTAATTTTATTATGTACCTATACTCACCGACCCAATATAGTTCTAATGAAATAATCTAGAACGTCAAATTTACTTTATAAACACAACAAGATTATACTCATGGCAAGAAGTGCGGTCAGTTTACAAACCCTACCTTTATTCAATACCTACAGGTTGCAAATAGCTATTACCTATGTCTATTTTAAATTCTTTGTGATGCAACATTAAAGCTTTATCATCCTATCATTATTTTTATCTATCATCAATACACGGCTATTCAAACCTAGAACCGCATTTAGAATTAAAGAACATACAATAGAATATAATAGAATAGAATATGCAATTTTGTGTGGGCACAAACTAGAAATCAAACTATTAATAAGAGTAGATTCGTGTTCATCGTTTAGTAAATCGATTTTTTTTAAATTATTTTAAAAAGAGAGTACCTAGGCAGAAGAGCAAGAATGAATGAATGAATAGTATGATTTATTATTTGACAAGAATATTCATAAAATCTTTAAAAACCACTTATGTTCAGAACTTGAGAGTGGTTAAGTATAAAAAACAGAAGCACACTATAAAAGTTTTAACGAAGTTTGAAACATGATGAGAATAATTTAAAATATGTATTTTTGCCATTCTTTTCCATTTCTTAATAAAGTATATTATATTAAAATGGTTCGTAAAAGTAATGAGTTATTGTCACTATGTCGGGTATCTTCCAAAAGTTAAACTAAAGTGACAATAACAGGAAGATAATTTGCGTACACACGGCCACACATCAATCTATACAAATCCAGTTTATCCTGGTGTCGCGTCGCATCATCTTTCCGCACATTTAACGTTCAGTTTATACTGGTTATGTAAAGCTCGATGTGTAGTCGTGTGTACGTAAAATAACTAAAAGAATCATCGAAAAATAACGAATTTTTCGATGCTTTGTGTAAATATTTATTTTTAGTTTCCTTGTATTTAATTTTACCTCTTTGTATCAAAAGTTGTTTAATATTTCGTAGTAGTTAGTATTTTATTTAAGTTTATATTTACAACTTAAAATTAACTACAACTAAACTATTAAATAAAAAGAAAGTAAAAGAAAACAACAAAAATTATACCCTTAATTTAGGCGTCAAAGTATTCGTCCGCATCACTATCACAGGGGAAAGTTCCCAGAAGACTGGCAGCATTGCCACGTTGAATGGCAATGCTTATTTTCTATCCGAAGAAAAAGCCAGCCCAGCCTCGTAGTTTATATTATTTACTAAAGGAGTAGTATATTCTTTGTGTTGGTCACACTTTGGTCGCCATGACAACGAGCTGTCAAACTGCTGCTGTGTTTACATTTTTAAATCGTGAAGTTATTCGTGTAAATTTGTAAAATTAAATAATGTAACATGAAATGATAAAAATAATAGTATGAAAATAATTGCTAATATAAATTCAAGTGATTATTGTATGTTCTTGTGTAATTAAAACAATCAGAAAGATACAATGAATGCCAAAACTGAAATCAAAGTTTTATCAATAAATGGGAGAAAATTGTTTTATTTTCGTCTGAATTTTATTGAACCGCTCTAGTGACCTACTTAACGCTTTGTCTTTGTGTGATACATAAAGGTATCACTTAGGCTGAAGGCCGATTCCTTTGTCATTTTATATTTTTATAAAAAAGTTATTAAAATGGCTAGGATTGTAGGCTGTTATCTACAAAGTTGATGATGGATGAAGTTATTCGAAAGGTATGTTTTGTTTTAATAAATAATGAGATTAAGAACAGAATTTAACTGATGTTGTTATATGCTATTATTGTAGGTGCAATGAATTTTGGTACTGTTATTTGGTTATGTCAAGCAATTATACTTTTACCAGTATGGAGATCTTAGTTTACTTTTACTTTAATAGTGATATGCAACCTTAATAAGTACCTTTCAATAAAACAAAATTCAAATAAGTATCCCGTAGAAAAGAACCGTGATAAATGTTCTTGTATTGCGTGTGATCTACCTGCTTGCTAGCCCCTGTTCCATAAAAACTTAAATAGGTACTCATTATTTATGTTTCTCTCCAGCCAGCAAATTACAGTAGAGTATCAAAGGAAAGTACAGCGGCATTCTCACCAAAGAAACTAACACTAACAGGAAATTTTACGCATAAATATAAAAGTTTTAATATATCGGCACCGTTGCGGAGAGCAAGCATGCGTCAGGATATACTGGATATGGTTGAACGGAGGACCGAGTCTCGGATGGGGGAGCAAAAGGTTTTTATCGATGAAAATCCTATGTATGAGGATCCGAGAGATGTTATTGGTGAGAGTGAGTTTTTAATTTATTTATTTTATTTAGATGTTCCACCCACACATATGAAACGCTTCGCTTCAAGCTTCCTTGTGTGTACTGCTAAAGAGTGGAATTCTTTGCCAGAATCTGTATTTCTTTTTCCCTTGATCACGGCATCACGCGTGAAAAAGTCCTGAAAATCCTACGGGAACGGGAGAAAACGGAATTGTGCGTACGAAGTCGCGGGCAGAAGCTAGATGTAAATAGATTTTTGATTTTCATACTTCATTACCATTTCCTAAAATTCTCAAAAAAAGTGATTCATTGCTAGAAGTATTGGAATAAAACTTGATTTTTATTTTTAATATTATTCAGATTATTCTTTTCCCAAAATTTCAGGAGAAAAACCAGTGAAACCTCCAAGAAAAAGGGTCATCCAAGGTATAGCTGTCTCTTCTCCAAGATCTTCAAAAGAAGGCAAGTCACTTCTTAAAGAGCAGAAGAGAAAATTAACGAAAAAATATGAACAACTCGTCACTTCTTTGATGGAACGGTGTGAAGAAAACGTTGTTCAGGTAAGTTTAAGGTTTTGGTTTAACCCTTAATTAATATGACAAGAATATGCTTTCTGATGCTAATCTATTAAACTGTCAAACACCAAGCGGTCACCGGTGACCGCAACCTATTGTTCTATAATTGTGTCTACAAAACCGGTACTCGACGAGTTAATGATGATAAGTTAGGTGCCAAAAGGTAAAAAGAAAAACAAAGTCAGTCACCAGATTCATTGTAAATCTCATATAGTCGGATGTGAGAATATAGCTATAGACCTATTCATCAAAAAAAAAACCTATTAATGCCCACTGCTGACCAAAGTCCTCTTCTCCCATGGAGAAAAGCTCAGTAGGGGTTGGCGATTTCAAACTTATAATTATAAATTATAAGCCTAGGTTTCCTTACGATGTATTCCTTCATCGTTTGTCAGTGGTGTCTAAATAATCTTAGAAAGTACACATAACTCGGAAAAAGTCACACTGGTACTTGCCGTTGGTAGGCATGAGAAGCGGGCGTCTTCAACCTCCGGGCCACCAGGACATTTACCTACTCACCCTAATCAATCCTAATTATAAGTCCTAATATAAAACATTATCTCTTTATAGCTTTCAGAAAAGGATTCCCAAATAGCCAAATTGAAGGAGAAATTAAAATCCGTCTTAGAATACAACAAGTTGTTCGCAGAAGAAAACGATCAATTGCGCAGTCAGTATGAGACTGTAGTGAAATATGCAGAAGAATGCAAGAAGGTGATCAAAGAAGAGAGGGAGAGGAATAGAGTATTAGATGGGAGAATAAAGGAGTTGCAGGAGAAAGTTAAGCAGTATGAGTTGCCTGATAGAGGTGAGAAACTAAAATAAACGCTTGCCTAACTTAGGAATCGGTTGGGAGCAACTTGACCTTTGGACATTGGAAATCATAGCTTATTGCTTATCTGATACTGACTATGAATTAGTTTACTCAAATATATTATTATTATTATTCTTTTTTCTATTTCTCAAGGTGATGTTCTTTCTTTCACAGACCACGGATCCTCAACAGCTATTCCTCTAGTAGAAGTATGCATGAGCTGCAGCAGTCGGCAGATAATAGTGAACCAGGCGCGGGAACATAACACGCGCCTGCAGAAAGACATGCAGGCCCTCAAAGATGTTCTATACAGGTAATATACCTTGTGTGTGGCGCGTTGCATTCTGCGCGCCTCAAAGGGCCATCAGACCATCACAGATAGGGCCCAATAGGGCTGATACGGAGCCGCGGAAGGTCTAACGGGTTGCCGGGGCTCCGGCTCGAAGAGCAATAATACGAACGGGGTGGTTTTTAGTCGGTAAGAGTCTGACACTCCCTCACGCCTAACCCAAGGCGGTAGAAGCAATTGAACGATGTTACCCCTTTAAAAAGAAAGAAATAAGGTAATATAATATTTGTTTAGTGCTTAGTTGTAACTATAGTATTGTATATGTATTGTACTGGATGGCATGAAATGATATACAGATATAGGTAGATTTTAGTCTGGAATATCACGTAGGCATTTTTATCATGTTGTACAACAAAGGTACTAAGAAAAATATTCATCATCGTTGTCGTAAGCACATTGTTTATGAACAGGGAGTAAATAACATCATGTTAAACTTCCAGGCTAAACGTCCAATTGTCCCGTTACCAAGAGCGTCTTCGCTCCAACATGCAATCTGTGGCCGGAGACAAGCCCGACGTGTTCAAGACTGGAGACAAGTATGATGCACTGGACTCGCTGCTCACTGCCAGTCTGGGATATAAAGGTAAATAGATACAGTATTTGGCTACTCTCGTTAATTCATTCGTTTTTTTTCTTCTCCTCTTATAATATCTTCGGATTCACTTCGTTGCGGTAACCAAGACAGTTATTCATGTCCCTGGGACTCCCCGGACTTCAGTGTTCCGATGTTTTCATGGTTGTATCTACTGTTGATCCTGGCTTACAGGAGTTGCAGAAGTTTTGGGAGGTTATAGAGGGCTTGTCCCTAAAAAAATCATAGAAAAAGAAAAAGTTTTGCAAAAATGTCGTAATATCGTCACCAGCCTTCTGGAAGGAGTCGAGTTTTGTTTCTCAGCAGGCAAGACACCTGATGGTAAGCGATCGGCGGCACCCATGGACCACCTGGTGAGTTACAGGTGCGTTGCTGGCCTTTTAAAAAGGGATACGCCCTCTTTTATTGAGTTGGTATATTATCATCCAATAGCTGGATTTTGGAGGGGGAATAGATGGTCTTTCGGTAGCCTCACTCATACGACGATGCCGTGGTATCACTCCGGTCGAAATGGCCCATTCGTGCCAAGCGAATTTTATAAGTGTGGTAGAGCCATGCTTCGGCACGAATGGGCCGGCTCGACCGGAGTGATACCACGGCCTCACAGAAAACCGACGTGAAGCAACGCTTGCGTTGTGTTTCGTCGTGTGAGTGGGGTTACCGGAGGCCCTATTATCCCCCTCCCTAGTCCCCGTCTCCCGAATCCCCGAATCCCCCACAATCCTCAAATTCCTAATTCCCAAAAGGCCGGTAACGCACTTGTAACGCCTCGGGTGTTCCGGGTGTCCATGGGCGACGCGGATTTAGTACCATCAGCTGATCCTTCTGCTCGTTTACCGGCTTATGCTATATAAAAAAGGCATGATTCGACCATGTAAAGAGTGAATTACTTTATTTCACCCAATGTTTATGTTTTCAGAAACATTGAACACGGAAGACGGGCAGACTAAGACAGGACCTGAAGAAACTCCTTACACCGGCCGCACTGTGGACCTCACGGGTCTACTTAGTGCACAAGCATTAGGTGTGTATCAAACTAAATTCCTATCACACATCCACTGTTTTGGCTTCATATTTTACATCTGATCACAGGACTTTAATCAGTAAAGGACTTTTTCTCGCCTGTTTCTCCTGAGTGGTCAAAGTCAAAGCATTTAGGTATTTCAAGGATTGAATATTTTGACCACCAGAAGATACTTTGATACCCTAAGTTCTTTTACTAAAAATATTTACTTAGCACCTTCATAGTAAAATAAGTCAGACATGATGGGTACTACACGCCCTTAACGGATCTAGCACGACTTTTCAGTGACTCTGTATTTATAATATTTACCAGCCTCATCGCTGGAACCTTCCTCAATACGGTAGTTGACGGGTAGTCAAATTCAATACTTTTATTGAAATGTCAAAAACGATACTTTTCTATGAATTTTGTATTGGATCGCAACTTATGACATCATAATACTATATTTCTGCGTCAAATAGCATACTTATTTCCTTACAATTCTAAGAAATATCCAAAAGTAGGTAAATTGTCAAATCAATGGATGAGAGTATGATTATTTTAAAATTATTTATTGCATTGAAAAGTTGAAACTATTTATTTTAAACCTAGGAAACTAGACAATTATAGTACTCTCATATTCCAGCCCCCCTCTTCGATGCCTACCAGGAAAACCTTCAAGAAAAAGACACCCTAATACTAGATTATGAAAAACAATTCGAAACTATGAACAAAAAGTCCAAATTAATTGTCACTGAAAACAAAAGTCTCACTGATAAAGTTAAGAGTTTGGAAGAAGAGCTAGTGGGAGTGAGACAGAGCTATAAGAAGTTGGTAGTAGAGAAAGAGACGGGTGATATTGAGAAAGCTACGCTTGTTGAAAGAGCTGAGAGGGCGGAGTCTAAACTGAAGGAGGTTTATGAATTGTATGAGGATAAAAGTAAGTATTATTTGACATATTCGTTCTAGAACTCTACTAATGGTGGCTGCTTGACTTCAATTGCCGCGCATGCTGCTCATTATTATGAGTCCTGATCGTGGTTTGAAATTAGTCGAGCAGCCTCGAAGAGTTACTTGAAAAAACGGTAACTTTCACTCATAGAACGAAACACGACACTGTTTACGACCGTTTCCTGCGAGGCTGTGAAAGTAATTCGGCCGGGTCGGCCCATTCGTACCTAATAAGCATGGTGTTTCCTAGTGAAACTTAGCTAAATAAAATTAAACCACTATTGTACCTCCTTTCTGTCAAATTTTATTAAATTTTCAACTTTATAGTTTTGATATAAAGTCGTAAATACAATGATCGCTGTACTTAATGCTTTATAACCTTTAACACCCCAATAGGGTAGTTTCCTAAATATTATTTTAATGTTCGTCTGGTACATTAATTTAAAACTTTAGACACGTATTTTTTCTTTTCTCACAAAATTAAATACTTTCGACGATATATTAATTTGAAATATCGTGTGACGTCACAGCGTGTCACATTTTGTAGCACGTTATGACGTAACGACATCCCACTCCTAAACCTAGCGCCATTTTATCTAAGTATTGCAACTTACTTAATACGACAAAATAAAAAAGTACGTGTCTAATGTTTTTTCAATATCTAACTGACGGACTAATTACATTTTTAATTTTGATACCCTGGAAACTACCCAATTCCAGTGTCAGCAATGATGAGAGACTACGAGACAGTACACAGAGAGTACTTCGTAGTGAAGAACAATCTAGAGATGGCGGAGAACAAACTGGCGCAACTAGATGTACTGCGCACGCGCACTGTACCAGCTGATATGCATGAACGGAGGCTGGATCATTGTAAGAGGTACGTAAATGTTTTTTAAGGTATGGGGGGGCCAAGGGTGGCAAACTAGTAAATGAATCGCCTGATGGTAAGTTCAAGTGCGGGAGAGCCATGGTTCGGCACGAAAGGGCCGGCTCGACCGGAATGATACCACGGCCGAGCAGAAAACCGAGTCTCGATCTCGTCGTGTCAGTGAGGTTACCGGAGGCCCAATTACCTCCCTAGTCCCCGTCTCCCGAATCCCCGAATCCTCCACAATCCTCAAATTCCCAATTTTCAAAAGGCCGGTAACGCACTTGTAACGTCTTGGTGTTTCGAGTGTCCATTCGCGACGGCGATTGCTTACGACCAGAGCGCGTTCGGCGCTTTGATTGGCCGATGAATCAACCAATCAGGACGGCGAATGCGCTCGATACTATAACGTTACGAATGCGATAGTAATTCGTGCTTAGCACTCAGGTGATCCGTCTGCTCGTTTACCGGCTTATGTTATAAAAAAAAAAGCAATCAATGCGTGGTCAGTCACCCGCGACACCAGTTGAATATGGTAAATGACTAATTTTTATTTTAATGTCCGTCTGGTAGATTATTTAAAAACATTAGACACGTATTTTTTATTTTCTTACGTAAACGAATAGTTTCGAAGATATATCGATATACATATATATAAGAATCGTACCCGACACCCCTTTTTTTTAAGGGGGGAAAATCATCGAATGACTGCTCCCGCCTGGGTGAGGCGGGAGGGAGTGTCAGACTCTTACTGACTAAAAACCACCCCGTTCCTTCTCCTGCACGTCGAGCCGGAGCCCCGGTTACCCGTTAGGTTCTCCGCGACTCCACCCGACACCCCTTACCCGGCAGTCTCACTTGCGACCACTCGGCCAGCGAATAATATGTACCCTATCCTGTCATTAAACCTTAAATTTCAGGTTACTAGAAGAGCTAAAACACCAGTACGGCATGGAGACGGACCGCAAAGGAGAACAGCTCACGAAGACACAGGAACAACTCAAACTGGTTGAAGACAAGTCTGCCAAGTTGGTGCACGAGAACCAGAACTTGAAGGAGGAACTGGAGAAGGCATTGAAGAATGTTAGGTAAAGTGGAACATACATACATACTATATTTTTAGGGCCTGCGGACGGCGAGCATGGGTAGCTCGCCGCCCGACCAGAACCAGACCCGAGCGTACGCCTCATAGAGCCATCAGACCACCACGGATGGGGCCTAATAGGGCTGATGCCGATACGGAGTCGCGGAGAACCTAACGGGTTGCCGAGTCTCCGGCTCGAAGAGCAGTAGTAGGAACGGGGTGGTTTTCAGTCAGTAAGAGTCTGACACTCCCTCTCGCCACACCCAGGCGGGAGAAGTCATTCGATGATTTTCCCCCGTTAAAAAAAATACACTATACAGACAGATATGAATATATGTACTTGCATCATTTACATCATTGAACATCGTCATATTACTTAAAGTTGAGTGACGTTTGAGTATTTCAACGTAAGTACTCTTAAAATGTCTATAGTTCTATTTCAGGTATACTTCTTAAAAGTACAAAGTCTTTACCTTACATGACCATCATCATATCCACCAGGTTGTACCGCAAGGCGGCAGTAATATTCCGCCAGCGGCTGAAGTCTGCGACGGCGCGCGTCCACCGCGTGCGGACCAGTGCGCGCCGGAACAAGAACAATAATAACGAACCTCTGAGGCAGGCCATGGCGGCCCTCGACAAGATTAAACAGGAGATTAAGGTACATAACATAACATCACGCCTTTTATCCCCGAAGGGGTAGGCAGAGGTGCACATTTACCGCACAGGTCGCAAGTGCGACTGCCGGGCAAGGGGTCTCGAGTTCGATTCCCGGGTCGGACAAAGTACTACTGGGTTTTAAAAAAAATTTCAGTAGCAGCACGGAGTCTGGAATTGTGCCCGGTATATGGCAATAGGCTCACCCCTATTACATAGGACTCATAACATAAATAGTGAAAAGTGGGTGTTACATTGTACAGTGGCATAATGTGCACCTCTGCCTACTCGGGGATAAAAGACGTGACGTTATGTTTATGTTATGCTTATAATAATATTACAGTGAAACCTGGTTAAGTGAGATATCAATGGACCTGCAATATCGTTTCTCTTATAGAGGTATTCCACTTACCCAGATCTCAGATATACAGGTATAAATAAATATCTGTCTCATTTACAGAGGGTGCCATTAATTGAGGTGGACTTGGAATTACGTGTGGAATATGTGGGTAGAATAAGAATGAGTAAACAAACAATGTTATCTCAGTTATAGAGGTTTATGCATATAAAATTTACTCGCTGTCTCGGTTATAGAGGTAACTATGATGATAAATCGAAAGAACAAATCCCAGATATAGAGGTTTACCTCGTCCCACTAACAGAGGTAATTCAGTGCCAAAGTGTTGGGACCTCAGCATGAGTTCCAGTTATGGAGGTTTCTCACTTATCCAGGTTCCACTTAACCAAGTTTCACTGTATTACCTTACTTTGACAACATTATTATTCTCTCTTTCATTACACTCTTAGACAGTAAAATCCCGCGCCTACACGTCACTGGAAGAGTTAGAACGTCGCATTGTAGAGCAGGAACGGAGAGCCGCGCTAGCACACGCCGAGTACCGGAGGGAACTGGAGAGGGCGGCACTCGCACTCCAACATAAGGAGGGTATCATCAGGAGCTTAATCGATAAGGTGGCTGATGTGGAAGAAGTCAGGTCAGTCACCATTTGTTGTTTTGCACTGTATAGTCAAAATCAGGTCCCAAGTTAACAGGGCCTTTAGCCAAACGCCACTAGCGCTTGTCTACAGAGAGAGTAGAAAATTAAATTATAAGGGATTAACGTAAAATTTGACACTTGTCAGTGTCATCCCCATACATTTAGTTTTGTATGCTCTCGGTAGACAAGCGCTAAAGAGGCGTTTGGCAAAGGCACTGAACCAGACCCGAGCGTACGGCGCGTCGCATTCCGCGCGCGCCTCAAAGAGCCATCAGACCACCACGGATGGGGGCCAACAGGGCTGATGCCGATACGGAGTCGCGGAGGACTTAACGGGTTACCGGGGCTCCGGCTCGAAGAGACACTGACAAGTGTCAAAATTTACGTCAATTCCATATAATTTGATTTTCTATTCTACATGTAGACAAGCGCTAAATGGCATTTGGCTACAGCTGCTGGGTCGATATTGGAACATTTAATAGAATCATTCCTTGATAAATAATTTTCTCTGGTAATTTAAAAATTTTAAAGATTGATAAACTATTAACGACTATGCCTTTGGAGTTACTTCATTCTGTCTCCTGCAGCAATTCACCGAGGGAAGTGGAAATTATCGTGTTTTCTTCTCCTCTTATAATATCTTCTGATTCACTTCGTTGCGGGAACCAAAACAATTATTCATGTCCCTGGGACGCGCCGGACTTCAGTGTTCCGGTGTTTTCATGGTTGTATATACTGTAGATCCTGGCTTACAGGAGTTGCAGCGGTTTTGGGAGATTGAGGCGGGCTTGTCCCATTTAAAAAAAACGAGTTCTTATGAAGACGTTGTTCAGTTTCATGGACCTGTTACATTGATCTGTTGTGTACTCCCTATATTTGGGTACGATGGGACTAATATATGCTGTGCGGTATGAAAGTCCCAAAAATTAAGGAAAAAAACATGTCTCGAGTTAAAAGGTTGTTCATATGCTTGTCAGCCATATCTTAGTTTACTACCAGGCGAAATGCACCATGCAAATATACCTCTATAGAAAAAAATCTTATTATTATTTTCTGTTAGATAAAAACTACCAAAATTATGTTTATTTTAGAAAGCTTTTATAAGTACAAACACTTTATTGCAATAATTTCATCAAGGTAACTATCCTTTTGAAACCCAAGAAAAATGTCAAATTTGAAAAAATTAATTCGACACGTTTTTAGTAAACAAAGAAAAGAACATTTATTTTGCTACGACACACAACAAGAATTTAGGAACACGCAAAAATACCTATGGTGCTTCGCAGCGCCAAAGGCAAAGTAGGTACCTGGTACATACATAATGTTTATAACGTATCGCCCTATATATGATTTCGAGTTCAGTTTGTTTATGAATGTACCCACAGTTACTTTCAATAACTGCGTGAACTGCGTTTAAAGAAACCGAATTCAACCTCTTTCTTGTTTTGAAGTTGGTTATAAATATTTTACATTTTAAACAAATATATTAATAACCGCATCATTGCTTACCATTAGGCTTTTTTGTTTTTTTTTTAAGGGGGGAAAATCATCGAATGAATGCCCCCGCCTTAGTGTCAGACTCTTACTGACTAAAAACCACCCCGTTCCTTCTCCTGCACGTCGAGCCGGAGCCCCGGTTACCCGTTAGGTTCTCCGCGACACCACTAGGCTAGATAGTAGTCTAATGTCAGTCTATCAAATATATAAAAATACCTTGACTCTTTTTATAATAACTATCGTGAGACATACTAAATTAACTAAAAATCGCGGGTTACTCACGTGAATATACTGAGAAAAGCTCTACTAGTTTCGAACCACAGAGGGGTTCTTCCTCATGAGCAGCGTGCGCGGTCGTGGCGTTGTCGCGCAGCCTACTAGAGGTTCGAAACTAGTAGAGCTTTTCTCAGTATATTCACGTGAATAACCCGTGATTATTAGTTAACCTTGACTATTGTTACTCAAAGTCAATAACAATGATCATGATGATTAATCACCGTCTATCTATTTTTTTTCTCCATAGACTCAGCCAAACCAACACACATCGTCTCCAAGGTATAATAACAGACTCCTCGCCAGAGGGATCTCCTTCCCCTCACCCTGAGCAGAGGAAGGAAACTAAACCATCGGTAAAGTTGGTACCAGGACCTGGAGGATATTTTCAAGAGAAGGAGGGCAAGAGGAAAGGGAAGTGAGATGGTGTATGAAATATGGTCAACCTGAGAAAAGGGCTCCTCTCCCACCAAGAAGGTTTGGGCATTGAATTACAACGCTTGCTCAAGGCGGCAAGACGGGTTCCAAACTTGTAATAATCAATATAAAGCAGGGGTTCCCAACCTTTTGTTGGTCACGGACCACTTTTTAGAACAATTGTTAGGTTAGGGACCACTACTAAGCACGTAGTACTTCCTTTCATGTAGACCAAGATTTTCTCCAAAGTAGTAAGGCTTGTTCTCATAAAAATAGTGACATTTCGATTATTGAAATCAGTTGATCCTCTTAGTTATCTTCTTCTACATAAGTTCCATTCGAGATTAAACCGTCGTATTTGTTGGAAACACAAGACAACACCTTGTAATTTTGTTAATTTCGCGGACCATATTTCGTCTTCTGCGGACCACTAGTAATCCATAGACCGCCGGTTGGGAACCACTGGTATAAAGGCTTAGAAAGCCTTAACTGAAAAAAGTCACATTGAATTGTCTATTTATGAGTGAATAATATTCTTATTTTTTTCTAGTCTTGTCTAGTCTTTCAAGCTGTATTGTGAAGTATTCATTATGAAAGTAACTATAGAGTTATTATTCTTCTGTTCATCAGACAGATAGATGGCACTAACGTAGAGCGAGGTCCTGTTTGATCAACATAACGTGAGGTCGCTGTTCATCTAATAGAGATTTTATTAGTGTTTGTGACTACTAGTGAGAAGTGACTGCACGATTGGTGCGGTGGCTGGGCAACCGGCTGCCGTGCAACGTGTCGCGGGTTCGATTCCCACACGGAACAACACTTTGTGTGATCCACAAATTGTTGTTACGGGTCTGGGTGTCATGTGAATGTGAAATTGTATGTTTGTAAACGCACCCACGACACAGGAGAAAATCCTAGTGTGGGGCATTTTTATTAAAAAAAAACTATTTGACATTTACACACAGCTACAGTGATTGGTCAAACAGACCTCACATACATTAGTGCCATCTAGTGAGCATAGAAGGGTAGCTGTCATTGAAACATGACAGCTATAATAATACTGCCATATACTTTAGGTATTTGCTTTCTAGAGTAAAAGATAATTGGGTATTTGCCAAATAGTCAAATTCAATACTTTTTTCGAACTGCCAAAAACGACATTTTTCTATGAATTTTGTACGAGATTGCATATTGTGACGTCACGTTTTTTACCGTTAAACAGCGTACTTATTTCTCAAAAAATTGCTGGAAACATACTAAAATTAAGTTGATCATAAAATCAATTAATGAAAGTGTGATTATTTTTTAATATTTTATTGTATTGAACAGTCGGAATCATTCATTTTTTATTAAGGCAAGTACTCAATTAGACAAAGCAAGAAGTAGAAGGCCACAATAAATTAGATTTTTTAAGAATCTCTAAAATATAATAGAAATATCGGATACGTAATAAATAAATACAATTTATTTACTCGATTCGTCTTTTAACGTTGCACCGTCCAAAATCGAGCATTAAATGTATGATTTATCATAATTAGCATTCAAAATAGGTTGTATTAAATTGATATTATAAATAGTAAAATTTATATAATTTTAATTGTATGTATGTATAGTAGAAAATTGTGTTCCTAGGTTAATAGATTTATAATTGAAGATTAAACATTAATAAAATGTGTTCATTAAAATTTTGATGTTTTAATTTTTAAACAAATTCATTCTATTTGTAGTATGAATCGAAATGAAAATCCTAATACATTTCTGACCGAACCGAACTGATCAGACACAGTGAAATCTATTTCGTTTTTGTCCAGCGGCAACTTTCTTTACTACCCTATTACTGCCATAAAGACTTTCCTTACTACTGCCTATATTTTTTAAGGGGTGAAAATCATCGAATGACTGCTCCCGCCTGGGTGAGCCCCGGTATCCCGTTAGGTTGGTTCTCCGTGACTCCGAATGGGCATCGGCCCTGTTGGGCCCCATCTGTGGTGGTGAATGTGAATTCAGGGATTGGGCAGGGGGATAATTGGGCCTCTGATAGCCACTTACACGACGAAACACAACGCAAGCGTTGTTTCACGTCGGTTTTCTGTGAGGCCGTGGTATCACTCCAGTCGCGCCAGCCAATTCGTGCCGAAACATGGCTCTCCTACACTTGAAAGTAAAAAATGTTACGCATAATTAATTGTAAAGGTTTCAGGAAAACCTAGAGCCGATTAAAATATCTTAATAGTCGAAAATTTCCCAAGGTTCCTAAAATTGGGTTAAGGGTATAACTGTTCAACCGAAAATCTTGGAAAACTGCGTGCAGTGACGACTGAATACTGACATTATGTTATCAGCGAGGTCTCTGATAAGAGAGTGAATTAATTGTGCCGTGAGATGAGCTCTGTAGGTACTATATAGTGTAGAATCTGTATTTGAATTTGTTTGTTTATATATTTCGAAATTGTTGAACAGTATTTGTGTACCTATTATTACGAAATGTATTAACAGATATGGAATCAGAATCGGGAATATTCCTACTAGTATTGTCGTATTCTCATTATCATTAGAAGAAGCGATAGACACAATTTTAATACTAGAGGCAAAAATAAGTTAGCTATACCGCAATTCAGACTGTCCAAAGTACAGAAATCCTTTATGGGGTTAGGTATTAAATGCTATAATAAAATACCAAATAGTATACTAGATCTCAATGAAAGTAAATTTAAAACATATATTAAGCGCGAATTATGTAATCAAGCTTACTACACACTGACAGATTATCTTGAAGATAAGAATGCTTGGCAGCATGTTGGTTCGGCTCCACTGGACAATACTCAAATGTAGTCAGTAGTTAAATTCCAAAAGTAGGTAATATAATACATAATTTAATACTTTAATTCTAATGTAGACAATCTAGTTTCCTTATGGCATCGAGCATTTCTTTCTTTATTGAAACAAAGAGTTTCCTTTTTCTTGTATAGAAGCACTATTTCTATGGATTGTCAGTATGCGTATGTGAGCACCATGTTAGACTTAAGATCTTTATTATTTTTATTTTAGTAAGTTATTAGTATAATGCGTCAAGCGTGTCTTTGCATTGTTCTTACATATGCGTACAGTATTGAAATATGTATCAGAGACATTGTAGAACATACTTTTTTAAAAGAGTAACGAATGGAGTTTCTTGCTCGTTCTTCTCCATTCGAATCTACGTTTTGGAATGAGCACCTAGCTTCACCTAGCTTCACTGACGGACTGACTGACAGACTATTATTTATTTTGTATTTGTTGACGTTTCAAAAGTACCAAACTATGGTTTAATTGAAATAAATGCTTTGACTTTGACTTTGACATTTTATATAGGTTTCGTATCGTAAATTATGAAGATCATAAAGATAATTTCAGGAACAGCTCATGACAGTCCACTGCTAGGACTACACATAGGCTCAAGCCATAAAGATGGTTTAGGATAATTGTTAACTAGACTCGGCAGGCTATTTTTTTATATTTTTTTTATCTAGGCTGGTGGTAAGCGATGCTGTCTATGATGGAGCACGCCGTCTCATAAGCAAACTATTCACTGGTTAGAAACTGCAGTTTAGAAGGTTGATCCCGAGCGTACGGAGAGCCATCAAACCACCACAGATGGGGCCCAACAGGGCTGATGCCGATACGGAGCCGTGGAAGAATTAACGGGTTGCCGAGGCACCGGCTCGAAGTGCAGGATTAGGAACGGGGTGGTTTTTAGTCAGTAAGAGTCTGACACTCCCTCTCGCCTCACCCGGGTGGGAGAAGTCATTGGATGATTTTCCTCTCTCGAAAAAAAAAAATGTTTAGAAGGTTGATATTTATCCGAGAGCATGGTCTATGCCGAATGTGTAGTTAGCACAGAAAACCTTTATATGTTCTGTGGTAGCTAGGTAGTCCTTTATTTGTTTCATGGTCCTTTAATCAGTTCTTACCCGCGAAAAGAAGAAAAGCAAGGGAAACAGTGATATCTATAATAATAGATAGGTACTAAAGAAAACTAGACTGTCTCGTTGGCCGAGTGGTCGTAAGTGCGACTGCCGGGCAAGGGGTCTCGGGTTCGATTCCCGGGTCGGGATTACTGGGTTTTTAAATACTCTCAGTAGTAGCACGGAGTCTGGAATTGTGCCCGGTATATGGCAATAGGCTGAGCCCCTATTACATGGGACTCATAACATGAATAGTGAGGGGTGGGTGTTACATTGTACAGTGGTATAATGTGCGGTTCTGCCTACCCTACTTACCTACTTCCCTTCACTTACCTACTTCGGGGATAAAAGGCGTGATGTTATGTTATGTTAAGGAAAACTATGCAATTATATTTTGCTGTCGTGTCGCGCTGTAATATCGTTGTGGCTCGGAGGTTTATGATGCCTGCTTCTCATGCATGAGAGTGCGGGTTCGAAACCTACCAACGGCAAGTAACAATGTGACTTTTACCAAGCTGTATATACTTTATAAGATTATCTAGATACCACTGACAAAGGGTAAGGGAAAACATCGTGGGGAAACCTGGGCTTATAATTTTTATAAGTTTGGAATCGCCTCGCATTGAGCAAGCAATTAATGCTCAGACCTTTTCCGTTTGAGAAGAAGCCTTTGGTCAGCAGTGGCCACTTATAGGATGTTGATGATGAAAATGATGTTTAGCTGAAGTTACACAAATAGAAGAGAGTAATCAGAGCCCTGTTTTTTTATATATATTTGATGGGCCGACGTCGATGATGATGATGAGATGATGCGGTCTACGATGCAGCACGTCGCGTCGTCCAATAAGTAACCTATTCATTCGGGCCTTGAAGACACCCAGGACAACCCTTCAGGAAATATAGATTCTGGCAAAGAATTCCACTCCTTAGCAGTGCGCACAAGGAAGCCTGTTACAGCTTCTCTACCATATTTTTTTCATTTAGCCGTTCTAACAAAAAAATATTAGAAAAATAAATCACAAACCAAACAGACCTAATTACAAAACCAGCGTTATTTAAATAGCTGAAGGAAATATTTGCTATCAGTTGTGAAGCCTTCAAGCGAGGTGTAACGTGCACTCGTGCCAAGATAAGCGAACAATTATATTTTTTTACTATCTCATTAATGTACGTAAACAAATAAAGGTGTTGACACGAATTGCTATAATTTTAGTCTTTATTAACAGTAGATTATTGTTCTTTATTGTTCTTTATTAGTCTCGTAGATGGGTGAAAGTAATATAATTGTTATTTTTATATAGTATAGGTTTAAAGTGCAGTGCCAACTTATAGTTCAGTCTACCTACGTAGGTAGTTAGTTGTGGATAGTAGGTTAGATTATCTTCGGGACGTGTTCTTTGTTTCCTGGGATTGTTGGTGACCAATATGGATATCTTGACAGGTTTGTATTTTTTGTTTATTTTGCATTAGTTGTTGCCCGCGACTTCATCCCCGTAGAATATGCATTTTAGATTTTATTTTTGCTAATCTCAGTAGTAGTGCGGTGTCTGGAATTGTGCCCGGTGTATGGCATTAGGCTCGCCTATTACATGGGACTCATAACATAAATAGTGGAAAGTGGGTGTTACATTGTACAGTGGCATTAAGTGCTGCAATGTGCACCTCTGCAAGTGCATATCCCTTCGGGCTTCGGGAATAAAAGGCGTTATGTTATATTATGTTATTTACAGATATATTACACAAAAAAGTTATCCAACCACAAGACGATTTTCTCGTTTCATAGTACCTACTTTGCTACGAAAAATTTGCTACGAGATTACGACACTTGCTACGTAAGACGTCGTAGCGTAGACATTCACAATACGTTGAAATGTTCAGTTCTGATTATTATTAGTTGTCTTATACTCTTATACTATTATATAAAGCGGAAGAGTTTGTTTTTTTATTTGTTTGTTTGGACGCGCTAATCTCCGTAACTATAAGTCTGATTTGAATAATTCTTTTTGTGTTGGATAGCGCATTTATCGAGGATGGCTATAGGCTACAAAACATTACGCTACGACCAATAAGAGCTGAGCAGAGCGTGTGAAACCGCGCGGAAGTAGCTAGTCTGTGATAAAGATAATGCGTGAAAGTTTGGACAAAGTTATCGACATAGCTCAAAGGCAAGGCTTCAGTAAGCTGAAGTGGCAGTGGGCCGGTCACATTTGTCGAAGAACCGATAACCGCTGGGGTAAACGTGTTCTAGAGTGGAGACCGCGTCTAGGCAAACGAAGTGTAGGGCGCCCTCCAGCTAGGTGGAGTGACGACATCCGCAAGATGGCTGGCAGTGGTTGATGAGAAGAGCTGAAGACCGAGCTCAGTGGCGTGCCATTGGAGAGGCCTATGTCCAGCAGTGGACGAATACAGGCTGATGGTGTGAAAGTTTGGATGAACTATTCGATGAGTGGTTTTAACTGAAATACATCAGATTCTGTATGGTGGAGAGGATGCAGAGAATCAATGGTAGATTTACTTTAGAAAATGATCTTTTCTAGTGAGATTTATTTTGATTTTTGCAAACCAAAGGACGAACAATTAAGTATGTTATTTACAATAGGTGGGTAACTGGGTAGAGAGCCATTTATTCGTCAGTCCACTCCATCAACGTAGTAGTCTCTGTTAAATGAAGTAATATACCTAGATTTATACCTACAAATACCAATACATATGTATAATTCTGACGCAGCTGCGATACAAATACTTGAAAAAAGCACATAAAAATGTGTTGTCAGGTAATAGCAAATCAATTATTTTATTATTGGGTGTGGGTAATATTTATATCAATGGACGATAGTACGATCATTGCTTTATTGTTTTTCTCAAATATAAAATAACTTAAACTAACTAGGGTAGCAACTTTTCTTTTAAAAAAAAACCGTAGTCCCACACTAGGATGATAGGATTTTCTCCTGTGTCATGGGTGCGTATACAAACATACAAGTTCACCTACACAATGACACTCAAACCCGTAACAACAATTTGTGGATCACACAAAGTGTTATTCCGTGCGGGAATAGGACCTGCGCCACGCTGCACCACCAGCCAGTTGCCCAGCCACCGCACCAACTGTGCAGTCACTGAATTTTAACGTCACTTTGTAAAATGACAGAGAATCTCCTACTCCGGCAAGTGCTGCTGTCTGTTAAATATGGTAGTGTGAATTGTGCTCTTGCGACATCTCTGGACAGAGAAGAGGACATGCCAAAAATGTATTCTATTCTGCCGTCACTCATTGCCTTACAGCTATCGCTTAGTGATCGCAAAATTAAAAAAAAATCTTTGTAGGCCTTATGTTTATAAGCCTATCGGCCTAGTCTATTCGCAGAAATGCCCGAATACTGAAACGTTACTCAATTTTAAGTAGCGCTTAAGTATAGTTCTGTCACTACAAATTCTTTGTAAAATGACAGAGACAGCACGATATTTAAGCACGACTTAAAATTGAGGAACGTTTCAGTATTCCAGCATTAAATTCACTTGTTTCACTTGTAAGAATACCTAAATATCTAATAACGTCCAGTACATTCTCTTTGTCTAGTTTCTTTGCTATCAAAAAGATAATTATTAATCTTTTAAAATAGTTTTAATTTGCGGAATAATACCTACTCCAATCGGCGATATTTTCAAGATATTCACCTCTGATTTAACTATGATAAAATAACCTGAAACGATAATAAAAATTGTACCTATTAGGAAGATGGTTTTGAATATTACAATATAATAAGTAGTTTTTTGTTTCAATCGCATGGAATTTCAAAATGGGCAACACCGATGGCTTTTTATTAGCCGGGCTATTCCTTAAAAAAAGAGCAATGACACACGGACAAAAATTGCCAACTTCAGTACTTACTGCTTACGTTAATCCATCGTTAACCTATTCAATGAAATTGCCTTTTAATACAAGTATTTGGAAGACAGCATTATAATATTTGCTAATATTACAATTGTTAAACTTATTTTTCATGTTTCTTTATTTTACTGCTCAAATATTATTACAGGTGAACTTTTTTTTATGAAAAACATCATTTGCCAATGTGCTGATGTAAATTTCAATATTTTTGCCATATTTTTATATGAAAATACTCTTGGTAGCCCAAGAGTACTCAAAAATGGCTTAAATTACACCTTTTTATCGAATAAGCCGGTAAACGAGCAGATGCATCACCTGATAATAAACAATCGGCGTCGCCCAAGGACACTCGGAACACCCGACGCGTTACAAGTGCGTTACCAGCCTTTTAGGGATTAGGAATTTAAGGATTGTTGGAGATTCAGTGATTGGTGAAATTGGGGAAGGGGGTGAATAATTGGGCCTTCGGTAACCTCAATTACACGGCGAAACACAACGCAAGCGTTGTTTCACGTCGGTGTTCTGTGAGGCCGTGATATCACTCCGGTCGAGCCGGACCTTCGTGCCGAAGCATGGCTCTCCCACTCTTGACAAAATGGGGTAACTTTGTATATTACCAAAACTAGTTGCAATTTGGATTTAACACCACCCTATAAATTATAGAGGTTTATCCTTCTATCACATTAACAATAAGATAATACACTTTCAGTAATAATTAATTCTTATCACATTTACTAGAAGTTTGATAAGAAACTAATTGAAAAAAAAAATACAATATCGGTAGTTATTAACGGTAGTTCAGTAGTTCGCCTTGCTACTGTGGACTAGTTCTCTTCTCGGCTGGGGATAAATTGAGCATTGAAGTATAGAGACGAGTGAAAGGTAAGTACTTAAATATAAATAGCATTTTATTCATTAAAGTTATGGTCGTTGCAATGGGTCTCTAATTTAAATTCTCTAATGTTTTCGGCTTACTCACGTAACAATAAGCAGTAGCGCGACAGTCGCCGCGTCGTAGCATGGCTTGAAACTAGTCGAGTTCCTCGTCAAATTATTACGTGACTAAGGCGAAAACATAATAATTTATTTAGTATGGGTCTCTAATTTTTTCATAGATTCTAAGGGCCTAATACGAATTTGTTTTACGTATAACAAAATTGAAACATTACTGGATTCAGTGCTCTGATTGGCTGGTTCATTGGAGCAGGGCAATCAGAGCGCCGAATGACTTGTAAAACAAACTAGTACGAAGCCTGGTCGGGTCATCGCATCGTTTTCATTGACATATGACATAACATCACGCCTTTTATCCCCAGTAAGCAGAGGTATACATTACGGTACTTAATGCCACTGTACAATGTAACACCCACTTTTCACTATTTATGTCATGAGTCCCATGTGTAATAGGGGGTGAGCCTATTGCCATATAACCGGCATAATTCTAGACTCCGTGCTCCCACTGAGATTTATTTTTTTATTAGTTATGTTATTTATCTACTTTGAATTGACAAACTAAATAATGCATTGGTATTATTATCTGGCAAAGAGACAACTTAACTAGATCGTTTTATTTTATTTAGGTACTTACAAGTACTTTAAGTAACTCCACTACAACTTCTTTTATTATGATGGCGCCTACAATAACCATACTATTTTTTACATTAACAATAGTAAAATTAGATTCTAAACACCAAAACCTTCACGGAAGATAATAATATCACGGCTAATAAGCACTCGTAAATTTTCCTACCATAACAAAAGTCTAAAACAATGGCGGATCGACATAAACAAGAAAGGCTGAAGAGAACAATATGATAATAGAATTTGTTCAGGTGGAAGCAGAACACTTTTATCATGCTAATTCTGTAGCAAATACTAAAATAATTTGCATGTCTTCAGAAACTAGAGTTCATGATATTAGTCGTTTATTAGCGATGGTCAATATGGGCTGTGCAGAAAGTATGTTTATTTTTAATTTTGACAATAGAAAAGAGATCTAAAACTTAAACCACACTAAGTTTAAACCATGTCGATTTTTAACCACATGAATTTGTGAAACAAGAAAACGAATACTCGAAACAGACGCAGATGAATTTTAAAATTGTGAAATATAAAAAAAAATATTTAAAGAGAACTTAATGGGTAGACTTAAAGATGAAAATCGTGCGTGCGTTTCGAGCGGTTTTTCTTTTACGGTGGTTTATTTCTCGCGAAAAAGAGAACGCATAAAATATGTGTGAGTAACGAAGAGATGGATGTTAAACGATAATGGAGAGGAAGATCAAAAACAAATGGATTATGTGCAGAAAGATGTGAAAGATAAAATAGTGATGGTGCGAGATGTAGAACAGGAATTTAAAGAGAAGGGAATGAAACATACTTGAGTAAAAAGTGATGTACTAGCAGATGAAGGAGAGTAAGACATGTGCAGTGATAAGAAAGAAGTAATATAAGAGCATAAGATTGAGACCCGATTAAAAAAGTGGAAAAGAGAAGAGTTTTATTAATTGATAATTGCAAACAACTTGAAACAAGGATACGCAGTAAAAAATAGTGTAGTTAAGGATATAGAAGTAATAGTAAAAGTTTAGTAGTATCGAACTATAGCTGAGCAACAAAACATGGATCTCAAAGTGTAGTCAACAAAAGATATCTTAGCTTATAGATAGATTAAAGAAAATAAAACATAGTAAAAAAAGTAGTCAACATAGACGCTGGTAAAAGTAGAAGATGTTTTGAATTAAAAAAAATGTTATTTTCTTACAGAGATGAAGTTCACTTTGTTACTACTGCTATGGCTGGTGAACCATTCGCTATCTCAAAATGGCTGTGATTTCTATACAAACGTAAGTTCTTTTTTTATATTCCATACGTGAAATATATTTCCCACATTTTTTGGTATAGGTCGGCAAATTAGCAGGCGACGGACATGCGTATTCACATAATGCACTGGCAATACAAGAGGAGTTACTAGTGCGTTGTCGGTTTTTTAGAGATTGGTAATTGATTTGGGAATTTAGAGATGAGCTTTGCTGGATGGTCCCCAGTTATGTCTAACTCCCCAGTTATTAGACTTCTAGTAAGCTCAATCAGACGACGAAACACAATACAATCGTTGTTTTACGTCAGTTTTCAGTTGATTCGATCTCGAATAACTATTTTATTTTCTAATATTATTTATATGACAAAAAAATGCTGTAAAATGAAAACTTTTTAAGGTTGCCTCTTCATTCCGATCTTAGTCCTATTTGCTGCTTGACTTCGAAGAATTAATGTCACCGGGTAACATTGTCATCAGAAGAGTTAAGCAGCTACGGGTTGCCTTGGTTTTGGCTCGAAGCAGGAGTGGGAACGGGGTGGTTTTTAGTCAGTAAGAGTTTGATACTCCCTCTCGCATTACCCAAGGAGTCATTGAAAAGCTCCGGTACCTAACAACCACTCGTAACTGACGTTTTTTTGTCGACAGGTTCCAGCTGGGAGCTCGCAGGTGTTCTCAAATCCAAACTATCCTGGGCCTTATGGACCAGGCATTCAATGCAGATGGACAGCCAGATGCCCAGCAGGGTACAACTGTCGGATTTCTTGCCCACAAATACAAATACCCTATGTAAGAAAGAAATTGTATTATTTAGTTTGCATATAAGTATACTAAAAGGTGAAAATAATACACTATCTACCCATCCCAGCGTCCCATGTTTAAATGGAGCCTACCGTATTTTTACCCACTAGATAGCGCTAATGTGCAACTCTCGTTCTTCGTCCAATAGGGATTTAGGTAACAGAGAGTCAAAGTCAAAGTCAAAGCATTTATTTCAATTAAACCATAGTTTGGTACTTTTGAAACGTCAACAAATACAAAATAAATAATAGTCTGTCAGTCAGTCCGTCAGTGAAGCTAGGTGAAGCTAGGTGGTGCTCATTCCAAAACGTAGATTCGAATGGAGAAGAACGAGCAAGAAACTCCATTCGTTACTATTTTAAAAAAGTATGTTCTACAATGTCTCTGATACATATTTGAATACTGTACGCATATGTAAGAACAATGCAAAGACACGCTTGACGCATTATACTAATAATATCAAATCAATTTCCTCAGATCGGTATAGGAGGATCCTTCGACCAGGCCAGGTGTTCATGTCTGGCGGGTTTTCAGCCCAACAGTTGTTCGTTGGGATTTTCTATCCATGTTAATCGCATATATAAGCTTCAATTGGGCGATGTAGTATTTTGTGACGTCTTCCGTTGATTTGTTTTTCATCGATGGTCTTGTCATTTGACATGTGATAAGTGTCGCCTTAGGGAATTAGCTCAAGTCACATAATTGTATGTTTCATATATTTGACAGCTGCTGTGATTGTACAAAGAACCTTCCAGTTAACGGTCAAAATATGTTCAGTAGTTTCGGAGCCGTTTAGGTATAGACAAATAAAGAACCTCTTTACAATATTAATAAAGAATACATATTAAAATTAAATGGTAAAAGTAGGACTCAAACTGAATTAACAATACAAATTTTGTGCAATTAAGAGATTGGTCAAATAGGATTTTAAACTACATGGGCGCCATCTGCTAAAACGATTGACACATAGGTAACAACATGTAACAATCATGCTGTTTTCTTCATAAATAAATCAAATATATAAAAAAGATGTTCTTTAGCTGCTATTAGGACCATCATTAATACAGTTATCGGTCATAACTAGAAGTAAAATAAAATGATAGATAACAATCGATAGTCCGGTATCAAAATATAGATGGTAATCTAATCCTTACATTAAAAAACTGATGTCATTACACAAGTTGTTTGGAACAGATAATTTTATTATTTAATATCTTTCGCGTGTAACCTAAATGATAAATGGATTTTCCAAACAATAAGGAAAACGGTCAACATAGTACATATGTATGATAGAATCTTATGATTTGTATAGTGGCCAGCACATCAACCCAATCCAATCTGTTAATTTTTACCATTGTATTTTCAACTTTATATCTAGCCGCTAGAGTTGAAAATTTAATAAAGAAATTTGACAGAAAAGAGTATCTATATAATAATATATAAATGTGTCCTTTGGTGTTGAAAAAAGGCAGATAGTCTCTTGAAACAACGACTGTGGTACCTGGCTACTATAGACTTACACGCAGAATACACATACATTGACACAAAGGGCATCTGTCATTTTCTTAAGTCTGGTAACGCGGTAGCCCATTATACATCATAGGTACACGCACACCTAGTAAACCACTGACATTTCGGTGTTTAAATCATTTCTAGCGGCCGTTTTTTCAATCAACAGATAATTCTTATTTTTTTCTTTTTTGGCAACCGAGTCTCCAATACGAAGCTGTCGACTAAACTGCCAGTGTCGAAAGATAATTCTTAAGTATGGAATAAAAATGACATTTCACAGTTTTCAATAAAGAAAAATTGGGTATTTGCCAACTAGTCAAATTCAATACTTTTTTCGAACTGTCAAAAACGACAGTTTTCTATGAATTTTCTAGGAGATTGTCTATTGTGACGTCACCTTTTCTTAGCGTCAAACACCATACTTATTTTTTTAAATTTGCTGGAATAAATCTATAATTAAATTGGTCATAAAATCAACGAATGAAAGTGTGATTATTTTTTAATATTATATTGTATTGAACAGTCGAAATAATTTATTTTTGACTAAGGAAAGTACCCAATTGTTAAATATAATATTCAAAGTTATTCCTCTGATAACATTTAACTGAAAAATAGACCGTAAGTGGCATTACGTCGCTTTTTTCAACGTTTTTGGCGGAAAATAAAAGAATGAAGGGAAGGCTCTCTCAAAATTATATAGCTTATAATTATTATTACTTAATTGTTCGATAATAATTATAATGATGCTTACTGCTCTCTAAGGTTAAAAACTTTTTTTGAAAGTTTGTTTAAATTCTAACTATTCTAAGCCATTCAAGTACGATAGATAATGCCAACTCTACTTGCGACTAATCCAGCATTGGCACTGTCTAGTGTCTAGTATACCTACAATGAATACCAATAAACCTTATGATATTTTCTACTAATCTACTCGTGGGAGCAAAAAAACTGAGCCACTGGCGTATTTTCATCTTTATTTCTTAATAAATATCTTCTCATATTTCTAAGATTATTTAGACACCACTGACAAACGGTGAAGGAAAACATCGTGAGGAAACCTGGACTTATGATTTCTAATTATAAGTTTGAAATCGCCAACCCGCAGTGAGCAAGCGTGGTGATTAATGCTCAAACCTTTTCTGTGTGAGAAGAGGCTTTGCTCAGCAGTAGGCATTTAATGGCTGTTGATGATGATGATCTTCTCATATAAGGATTTTATTTTATTTATTACGTATGTCGTACAAAAGCCAGTTTAGTTACCTTCAAAATGAGAGCATTTTGTCGTAAAAGAAATGTACTTTTTAAAAGTACCTTTATCTTTTATACCTACTTACATATAATAAAATCGTAGAAATGTCCAAAACTGTACTACATTGATTATTTTTTAAAAAGAATACTTGGTGCGTGATAGGTACAATCGACACCGAAGCAAAAAATATGGTTTTTAGAATTTTTATCTGTTTGTTTGTCTGTATGATCTCCAAAAAAGTATTACATTGATTTACTTCAAATTTTGCATGAATATTACTAACAGGTCGGGTCGACAAATATTCTACACATTATCACGCTATCATCTACGGGGGAGGAGCTGTAAATCACAATTCCACGCGAAAGCAGTCGCGGGCAACAGCTAGTATTAAAAAAAAACCGCTGGTGGCTCCATTTTTTGTTCCCATGTCTACATCTGTATGTATAGTACTATAGTCAATTTCATCACTATCTGGATTCTCTTCTTTATTCCAGTCATCTGGATGTTCCATGGATCGTCTGCTAGTCTCCCGTTCTGGGGACCCTCAGCTAAACGCCGCGGATACATTCTGTGGGCCAGGCTCCATATATCTCACTTCGACTGGTCAAGTACTCACCGTCGGTAAGGAGTTCAGCTACGCTATTCTCTAAGATGTCAATTCGAAATCTCGAAGCGAGCTCGATCACATTCTCGCCCGTCATTGATTGAATTTAAGTTAAGTTTAAAAGTGGTAGTGTTGGACCACGTTAATATCCATTTGTATTTTTAACAGGTTTAATATCAAGTCCTTACAGTACAGGAGGTACTTTCCGCTGTCAGATTACAGCGGTACAAAGCGGAGAAGTTACTCCTCCACCCAGTCCTCAGTGTATTTGTGGAGTTAGAAACCAGGTATTCTACTTCGATATTTTTTTCATATTACAACATCTTTAGTTCTTTAAAAGTTTGCTTTTCTATACGAATCTGTAGTATTACAAATTAAGTTCATATATATAAGAGTTGATTCATCCTATCATCTTACACCGGGTATAATAGGGTAGATGCCTAGATGCCTAATTTTTATTTTAATGTCCGTCTTGTAGATTATTTCAAATCATTAGAGACACATATTTTTTACTTTCTTACAGAAACGAATACTTTCGACGATATATTGATTTGAAATGTCGTGTGACGTCACTTCTATGTACATTTTATACTAACGTAGAAATGACATTTTAGACCCCACTCCTAAACTTTGATTCGTTTTATCTAAGTATATACGACAAAATAAAAAAATACATGTCTAATATTTTTTCATTACCTAACTTACGGATTAATTAGATTTTTAATTTTCATACCCTGTCATCATCCTAATTTAAAACTCTGTGCTAATGGTAATTGGGCAGGCTTATAACGAAAGCGCAACCATCTTTGGATCTACTACAAGTGACGTATCTATACCGTTCGGGGCCCGTGGCAAATTCATCGGATGGGCCTCCGTTGCCAATAACTAAAAAACAAAGAAGTTCAGATGAATACTTCTGAACGAGGCTTCCAGTTGGGGGCCCATGATATTTTGCCAACTGCCACCTTGTAGTTACGCCACTGTCTATTACCTACCCATTTTTTCCCAGAACCGCATCGTAGGAGGTCAAGAAACTGGCATCAATGAGTTTCCAATGATGGCAGGACTGGTAGATTTGAGTATTCGTACGATTAAGTGTGGAGGTGCTATCCTAACTAGTCGGCATGTGCTGACGGCTGGCCATTGCTTGTACAGACAGAATGCCACCAACTATGCTATCGTGGTCGGCGAACACAATGTAAACATAGGTAAGTTCTACGGCCATTGAGCAACTTAATATGCTATCTAAAAAGGTTATAAATCTGTCGATACTTTTGTCCATCTCTTTTCTCAGTTTCTCCTTTACAATACTATAGAATAAATATAAATACATAAACTAGCGGTTTGCCTCAGCTTCACCTCGCTGCCATTTCCTGATGTTCCCGATGAATGATATCGAATCTGTCTTCTATATCTACAACCTTTGTCCCAACGATCACGAACATTATATAAAATAATTATCCAATTCGATGCAGTCATTCGACAGTTATGGGCATACATAATATGTATGTACATCTTGGTGATCCATTTAAGGGCTCGTACACAAAACTGTGATGCGAATTCGCAACGCAAAAAATTACGATGCGAATTGCCGCGATGCGATTTCATGCGACAAGGTGTCTCCCAAGGTGATTATTCCTTCGATTACCGTCAACCGTACTAAACGTATTTTAAATTGAAAACTATCGTGACATGGTTCGTAAAAAGAAGAAAAAGAAACAAAGAAGATTTTGGAAAGATAAGATTTGGATGCGCGATGCGAATCAACTCGCAAGTTCTTGCGATGCGTAGATCCAGCTCGCACATTTTTACGATGCGACGTCGCGTCGCAGTTTTGTGTACGAGCCCTTAATTAATATAGATGCGTTTACGAACGCTCTGGTGTACAGTTAGTCAAGTTTGTTTTGTACACACACAATTGGTTCAGTCAGTAGCTGTTTCATTTGATTTAGGACCTAACTCTTGGTCAGATTCTGAGTCTACCAAAGGTATGAATGTATGTAAGCAATGTAACCTATAGGAAATGAATGGATGTCAATGCTATCTAAACACAACCGTAATTTTAGTCCGAATTGTATTAGGTTCTTTTTAACCTAAAAACGCAAGAAAAAGAAACGGCTGGTAAAATTAAAATAAATTAGCATATACTACTTATACGTCGTTTTGGTTTTACAGGAGACTCTCCAGCTACAAGAGCGTATGCGATATCAGGAGCAGTGGTGCATCCGTCATATACGCCGTCAGTGATAGTACCTAATCTTGAGTGTGGCTAAGGCAATTGTGGGTACTAACATGTGTTGCTTTTTGTATTATTAGGTCCTTTACTTAATTTAAAGTTTCGTTTTAGGAGATATAAAATGTAAGGGTTCAAATATTAACCCTGACCAACCCTTTTAATGAGTAGTGTGCTCAATATGAGTCATGCAATATGGCCTATTTTTGTGAAAGTCAAACTTCGAAAAATAATGTCCTTATATTGACAATGTGGGTAATTAATGGACTAGCAGAAAGTCAAAGTCAAAGTTAAAGCATTTATTTTAATTAAACTGTCAAACACCAAGCGGTCACCGGTGACCGCAACCTATTGTTCTATAATTGTGTCTACAAAACCGGTACTCGACGAGTTAATGCTAAATTAGGCACTTTTGACACGTCAAAAATTGAATTTTCCGTCCGTCTGTCTGTCAGTGAAGCGCTCGTTCCAAAGTGTAGTTTCGAATGGAGAAGCTACATGATTTCATTATTCTGAACCGACTACTTACATAATAATTTAACATAAAAAATTTAGGAAGTATGAATAGTTACTTAAATAATAGTTAATATTATTAAAATAAACAGTATAATGTAATTAAGCTGATCTAGAAGTCATTAGGGGAGGCCTATGTTCAGCAGTGGGCCTTTTGCGGCTGATATCATCAATTATCAGCCGTAAAATACCGAATGTATCTGAAATACTGTTTAATATTACAAATTGTCATCATCATCATTGAGTAATATTAAACAGTATTTCAGATACATTCGGTATAAAGTTTTTTTTATCTTACTTTATAATATTCATTGAAAACCATTTTTGTTATTACAACACACTCAAATCCAGCTCGTCTATTTTTACATCATACATACATTTTGTTTTGCGGGGACAGAAAACCACTCTTAGCAAATCAGGTACATAATAATTATGATCTTCTAGTTATTAAATAAATCTATAACCTGTAGGTAGTTCCAGGTAAGGACATAATGATAACTCACATAATTAAATATGTACTCATCATAATCAATCAATGTAAATGTCACATACAAATATACTCGGAATTTTAATTCGATTCCAGATTTGACAATTTCAGTGTTGCTACGTTATGACAAGTACTAAATAGTGACGTTGCGAAATTATTCGATATGGAAATGCAATATTTCTGGATCGAATTTTCTCGTTTATAATATTACTCCCGTAAACTAAGTATATCAGGAAATTAAATATTTCTGAACCGATAATTTAGTTTTGACGATTAACTAACGATCTAAGACCTTTCTTTTATAATTGTGTGTGAAATAAATAAAATAATGTAATCATGAAGGAACATGACAAATAAAACAGATAGATGTATTATGGTAATAAGTTATAAATTGTCGCCGTCATCGCTATCGCTATCCTGTCACTTTCTGTAACATTTATTATAAAACACACACACTGATTGTTTATCGATTTTTGTGTTCATCACTACACTATTATATGTGGTATCATTATTTCACAAAATGACAGTAGCTATTGTCAAATCTGGAATCTAATTAAAATTCTGACTATAGTTACATTTTTATTGTCTGTGGCAACGGTGATGGTTCGCGCGCTATAAAAAGCGCGGGAATTCGAACTGTCAATGTCAGTGTCACCTATCATGATGTCATCTGTCACTGTCCTCTAGTGATGTTGTTGATACTTTACGGTTAAGGTTTACAATGTGTGGAGGTTTCGGTTTTTGTTTATTGTCGTTTTTTTTTAAAATAAGGTTGTTGACGCAATTTGTATGATGGTGGCGGGAGCTTAAGGTATAAAACTTAAGGTATAAGAAGGTTTTATTTGATTATAAACTCACGATACCTAATATTGGTCTCAATTTCACTAATATTAATACTATATTTAATACAAAGGTGTAAAAAAGAATAGTACAAATCAGTTCATTTCTGCTCTCGTTAAGAACGTATATACCTATTTAATACTTTAATATTTATTTTATACACACATAACATCACGCCTTTTATCCCCGAAGGGGTAGGCAGTCGTGCATGTTATGGCACTTAATGTCAATGTACAATGTAACACCCACTTTTCACTATTTATGTTATGAGTCCCACGTAAATGAATATATCTTTCATTCATTCTGTCTCCTGCAGTAATTCACCGAGGGAAGTGGAAACTATGGTTTTTACATCTTCTCCTCTTATAATATCTTCTGATTCATTTCGTTGCGGGAACCAAGACAGTTACTCATGTCCCTGGGACGCGTCGGACTTCAATGTTCCGGTGTTTTCATGGTTGTATCTACTGTTGATCCTGGCTTACAGGAGTTGCAGCGGTATTGGGAGGTTGTGGCGGGCTTGTCCCAGTAAAAAAAAATATCTTTCATTAAACAAAACATTAAATTTTTCAGTGTCCTGTATGATTACGACAGTGCAATAGTGACCACTGTCCTAAAGATGGAGTTCGGTCAGTTGGTCATGCCAGTGTGCTTACCATTCAAGTTCCGTAATAATAATTTCGCTGGGGCCAAGGTAACTGCCATTGGTAAGTATCATCACTTCATCAGCTAAGTCTTGTTTCAGAAAAGATTAAGAAGTATATAGTGGTCAGCGAGTCAATAAACTGTTTTCTGTCTTTCATTATTACATTTTCAACCATACCGTTTGTATTATTAAGTGTTAAATCTAGTGAAACGAATGAACAGATTGGGGATGGTTGATCAGCTGATTACTGAACTGCTACAGGAAGACTAACTCTGTAATAAGGCATTGACAAGTCTTGAGATGCTTACTCAAGAAGAGGTACAAATTGGAGTTTCCAACAGAAAAAGAAAATATAACATAGCTCCCAAACTAAAATGCTTGAAGGTTTCCCTCGCGTCCCGCATAACTCGGAAAAAGTCACATTGGTACTTGCTAATGGTAGGTTTCGAACCAGCATCTTCATGCATGCGAAGCGAATTAGATACTTACTAACATAGGATACATTATGATCTTCATAATTATCGAAAATAAACAAATGTATTCTGGTCACTAAATAAAAAAATGTAGGCAAGTTTTTTCGTTTGTTTACCAGGTTGGGGCACCCTATTCATTGGTGGACCGAAGCCAAGTGCTCTGATGAAGGTAGACTTGGATGTGATAAGTCAGGCCACTTGCAGGAACACGTTCCCTAGTGTCACTGACCGGCAAATGTGCACTTACACTCCGGGGAAGGATTCTTGCCAGGTGAGTCGTTGTCGTGTGCATTATTTATTTATTTAGTCTTTTATGGTACAGTCAAACCCACAAACAGTCAATGCCACCGTGAGTGATGTTCACACGGCAATGCGTAAGTAATTTCATATTAATGTGCATAAAAACGCGTGCGTACGCATAAACACACGCACGCGTACGCACACGGATAAAGATATGCGTGTGTGTGTGTGTGTATAAGCGCTGCAGCGCAACCGATAGTAGTCTTACGGTAACAGTGAACTTTTGACCTTTGACTACATACACCATTTGATTATGGCACATAAGGCGAACTTAATGCCGTCATATGGCATTTTCTACCAGTCAACCAGTTCATTATATGAGATTTATCTAAAATAAAGAAACTTTTTTTATGGTATGTATAGCCGGTAAACGAGCAGACGGATCACCTGATGGTAAGCAATCGGCGTCGCCCATGGACACCTGGAACACCAGAGGCGTTACAAGTGCGTTACCGGCTTTTTGGGGATTAGGAGTTTGCGGATCGTTGGGGATTCAGGAATTGGGGAGATTAGTTTAATGGTACATGCCCTCAATTGTTTATATTGTCCCCAGGATGACTCTGGAGGTCCTCTCCTCTACACGGATCCACAGACCGGTCTCCTCTTCAGCGTCGGTATGGTCAGCTTTGGCAACTTCTGTGCCGAAGCTAAAACCCCAGCTGTGAATACCAGAATCACCGCTATCTTGGACTGGATCGTGGCTAACACCCAGCCTATGTCGGAATATTGTGTTAAATGATTCTATTCTGACTTTGTCGTTCAAACGAAATTGTGCCAAAGTTCTTAATTATTATTATTAAAAAATATGTATTTTATTATGTCTTTTTCTATTGTTATTGGTACCTAGTTGTTGAATGCTTTTATTTCAGTTTAAAATAATAATTATGTGGGCATTAAAAAACAAGAAAAATGCTGCTATTACTTTTTCCAGCAAACTTTTTTACTTATGGTAAACGAAACATAACACTCAAATAGATAATTACTTTTTGGTTTTGCGTACAATTACTCATAACTCAACCCTCACGGCCAGCTTACCTATGAGACCTTACTAAACATGATTTCCACTCCTACAACGATAGATGGCGTTATTCCCAACAGGAGCATTGCGGCCTGCGCGGCAAACCACCGCGAATTCAGCCGCGCGAATATTGATTATTCAGCCGATCCCCTAGTCCGAAACAACTTCACTCTTCTACACTATTATTCTTGCTATCAGTCCACACAATATTCTCAACTAAAACCGCTTTCATTACCCATAAAATGTAATAATCTTCAAACAAATAAAAATCATGTATCTTCATAAAATTATATTTTTTCTAATTTGACAGTGTTAAGTTATCAAATATTATAAACGTAGCGATGGAAGTGAACATCTTATTGAAGTTTAAAATGAAGAGATAGGCTGTGGTTGTTTTTTTTTTAATATATTTTTTGAAGAAAATGCCAAAAAGAATACCGTTCCACGTTGTTTATGCGACAAGTGAGTATTTTTTTTTATTTTATTCACGAATAGTAAATGGTGTTGTAGTTTTTAGTATTACTTACAATATATTTTTACCACCGGCTTTTTTATTGTTTAACAATGCACACTGCCTACGATAATTCTTGTACTGACTGAGTGTAATTTGATCTAATACCTTAAATAACATTCAGTTATATGACATTTAGTCTAGAATTCTAAGAACAAAGATACCTAAGTAGATTACGTAGGCGATATGCCACGTCTTAACTTAGGTACAGTAATTAGATAAGCAGTTAGGCATCCACCTAATTGTTTAGCATCTTGTATTGCAGGTACCTAAATGCTAGCTTCATTTTAATTGAACGCTTTTTAGGTTCATCTGTGCTACTAGGATAAAAAGGTAGCCTTTATGTTATTCCAGACAGATCTTTTCGTAAAATTGTAATCATTTTAATTCAACATCAGTATAAAAAAGTCCTCTTTCATTGAAAAAACTCTCTCATCTTTAAACAGTAATCTATGATTGATGCTTGTATGATTGATGAGGGGGCCCAATATATGATGCCGATACAGAGTCTCGGAGAACGGAAAATGTTACCGGGGCTCCGGCTCGAAGTGCAGGAGTAGGAACCCGGTGGTGTTAAGTCAGTAAAAGTATATTAGTAAGTCGGTAATAGTAACACTCTCTTCCGCTTCACCCAGGCCGGAGAAATCATTCGTCAAGCTTTGCCCTCTTAAAAAAAATATTGTTGTTTGAAAAATATAAGCTAAAACGAGCAGTTTAATATTTTCTTTTATAGACTTGAATAGG